ACGGAGGCGGCTGCCAATGCTCCACGGGCTGCCAGTGTTTGTTGACACATCAGCTGGTTTCCCGGTAAAATCCGGGGAGGTTTGTTTTTGTCTTCGACACGCAGGTTTTACTGTTATTACCTGGAGGCCTCTTATCTAGCTTCAGTTCAAGGAAGCAGTATAAAATTTCCACACTTCAATAGAACCACTCCTTGTATCGTCACTTACTGGACACACACTCTGACTGGGTTTGTTTTTGTTCCTCACACTGTTTCCATGTTCAGCTAATAGCCAGACACTGTTGGAACCTCTGCAGGCATGTCAGGGCTTGTTCCGAGGTTAAAGTTTCACTGGATGTTTGTCGCTTTAGTTTTATTTCTTGATAAGCTTACTTGTGTATTTGTGACTCTTGCACACTCACATACACTGTTGTATGGTATGTTAAATGAGGAATTCATACTCAAGAAGTTAAAGCAAAGCAAAAAGGAAAACATAAGAGGAAGCACACATATGAGCTGACCTCTCCAGAGACGTAATTAGGCCACTTGTTGGTATCATCAGCGCGGTGCCCAGAGGCTAAACGCGTCTCCTGGCAGAGCTTACAGAAACAGAAGCATACGTTCTCAACAAGACGACTTTGTTTTGGATTTGCCGGCGGGTCGCGCTCCCCTGATTGTCTGTTCCTTCTGCAGTTTCTGAGAATAGGACAAAGTGGCGATTCTCTTTCGGGACAACGGGCCTCTTTATGTCCGTGAAAATAAATGAATGAACAAGCAGAAGGCAATGGGTCACTGTCGTGCCCCAGAAGGTGGATCTCTTTCTGTGTGTTTTTGTTTTTTCTTTGGTGGTTTAACATAAGGATTTGCATGATGTGTGCAGGCCTACAGAGAGGGAACGCATAGAGAGGCTGATAAAGATGCGCCTGAGAGAAATCATGATGCAGAAAGACCTGGAGAACGTCACCAGCAAGGAGGTAGGAAAGCTTTAGGTGTTAGCTGCAGAATTTATTTACCTGACTACAATAATGTCACCTTTTGTTAATAATCTCATCTGATGTTTGCACTAGATTTTATTTGTAGGAATCAAAGAATTTGGGGCAAAAAAAGAAAAACTATGGATAATTTTTCCTCCACATCTCCTTTATGCATTACTTTGTCTTTAAATAAAAATGGCATGCATTAAAGACCAAGTTTAGCTTAAATATCATCTCCTAACAGTAGCTTTATTGTTTTTATTTGTATTTTTCCCAGATCCGAACAGAGCTGGAGATGCAGATGGCGTGCAACCTCAGGGAGTTTAAGGAGTTCATAGACAACGAGATGATTGTCATCCTGGGACAGATGGACAGTCCTACGGAAATCTTTGATCACGTCTTCCTGGTGAGATTTCAGACGCCTTGATGAATACTGGACTTTAATCCAGGTTACAAGACTTGACACTCTGTACTGGGATGTGTTATTCAAGATCCACTCTGACTGAAAAAGGTTGAAATAGTGCATCAAGTTTTATATGAATCCCCTGGTATTAGGTAAAACAATAACTACTAGCTACTGAAACTCGACCTGAGGAACATGTGGGAACCTGATTATTCCGTACAGTCTTGCTGGGAACTGACGGATCCGATTCCATGTCTCTGCAGGGCTCTGAGTGGAACGCCTCCAACCTGGAGGAGCTGCAGAACAGCGGGTAAGAGACTGGTCTCTTTCTAACCTAATTAAGGCGTCCTACAACTGTAATTAGTCGAGAAAAAACACACATTCTCACTCAATTTTAATAACAGAAGAGAGAAAAGTTTCTGGAGCAAATGAGCAAATCCACAGCAGTAATTAAATCTATGAGAGCACCAAACTCTTAAGTGCGTCTCTTTGAAGAGCTTCGCTTCAAATGTTCTGTTCCCGTATTAAACAGATCGGTTCATTCGATAGGCGCTTTTGGTGTTTTTTTGTTGTTGTTTTTTTTGGGGGTTAAACCGATCGTCCTCTCCGTCTCTCTTTAACGTAGCGTGCGCTACATCCTGAACGTGACCAGGGAAATCGACAACTTTTTCCCGGGAATGTTTGAATACCACAACATCAGAGTTTACGACGAGGAGGCCACCAACCTGCTGGAATACTGGAACGACACGTACAAGTTCATCACCAAAGCCAAGTAAGGGTCCGGACAAGTTGACGCATAAGCGTGCGGTAGAGTGCGTCTCTAAAGCTGCATCTGACCACAGGAAAGCTGGGGCTAAGTGTCTGGTGCACTGTAAGATGGGCGTGAGCCGCTCTGCCTCCACGGTCATCGCCTACGCCATGAAGGAGTACGGCTGGGATCTGGACACGGCCTTCGACTACGTGAAGGAGAGACGCACCGTCACCAAGCCCAACCCGTCCTTCATGAAGCAGCTGGAGGAGTATCAGGGAATCCTGCTGGCCAGGTAGTCATTACACCGTCCAAACCTTTCTTTCTGTCGTTTTTTCATCCATCGAGACATTTTTCCATAAGTGAAATAATCTACCAATAGAATAAGAACTTTTTTGTCAATATTATGGAATTATTGACTCAAAATCAGCGCATATATCTTGCTGAAAAGTTACTTGTGAGTTATATCATTTCAAGTGGACTAGAAGCAGACCAAAAATACTTCATAGGATTTTGGGGTTTTACAGTGCAATTTATTGTCTTTTTTTTTTTTTTTCTTCATTTCTGTTGGGACAGAATGAATGAAATTTGTCTTAAATTTCATTCATAATAGTTTTTAAAAAGTCTTAAATGTGAGCTGGTGAAGCCTCCAGAAACCCTGTCATCATGTTTACTTTTCTTTCCTGCGTCCGTCCATCCTCTTGCTTCTATATTTCTACTCTAAACACTGATCAACTCTTGTTTGTGTTTTTCCTCCGAAGCAAACAGAGGCACAACAAGCTGTGGCGTTCCCACTCTGACAGCGACCTATCAGATCGCCCCGACTCCATGTGCAAGCCTTCGTCTCCCATGCTGCGCCGTGCCGACTCTCACAACAACAACACCACCTCCTCCCCCTCTTTGCATCACTTCCTGGGCGTGGCTGTCCTGCAGGCCCTCTGCGCCGAACCCAGTGCCAAATCCCGCAGCTCCGATCTGCACGCGCTATCCAACGGCATCGGGGAGTCGCCACTCCAGGAGGGACCCCGGCTCCCTCTTCCCAGACCCCGAGCAGCCACTGTCATTCCGGAGGAGAAGCTGGACAGCTGGGCGACCATTGCCGTTACCGTGCCGGCGGCTCTGCCGCATCCTCCGCCTTCACTCCACATCTTGCCTCCGACCCCTGAGCTCCACCGCCGAGCTCCGTCCACCCTCCAGTCTGATTCAGAAAAATGCAAACCGGTCGAGCCATCCCTCAGCTTCGCGGGGACCCACAGCTCAGAGGAAATCTCTGCTCTCAATCGGGGTTCCGGCGACGACTCTGATGCACTCCAGGAATCTCCGTCAGACTCCAGCGGCGAACAGACCCCGCTCTGCCCTGCCGCCGCCGCCACCGCCCACCCTCTACCTCTCACTCTGAGCGACGACAACAACAACCCCAGCGAACCGCTAACAGGAAGCGCCTCGGACAGTTCGCCCAATCACAGCCCTTCTGACAGCTCGTCCAATCACAGCTCTGACAGCATCGATTTCTTCAGTGCCAGGGAGAAGTTTGTGGGTTTGGCTCAGGAACCGGAGCAGCTGCAGCAGAGGCTGGCCCCGGCGCAGGAGGGGGATGCACAGGTCAAAGGTGAAGAGGAGCCGGAGGATGGGAGAAGTCAGGTGGGGAGCGTTCTGTCTTTAAACAAAATGTCCCTATTTATACATATTGTGTTCATGAGAATCAACCATTTTATTAAGAGGTGGGTGGGTGTGAGACTGTAAATATTCCATGCAAATCATACATTAGTGTGTGTCAGATATTTCTACATTTGGATTTCATAATGACTCAGCAGCAGAGAAAAGTCAGTACCCGTTCCTGTTCCCTCTGCTTCCCTGCAGCCTCGGCTCAGCTGGTTGTTCCAGTTGACTTTTTACTGCTTTGTTTTCGTAAACGCAATCCTGACTGCCTGAAGCCTGTCGGAGCCTCATGAGGCAGCGCTTAGCACAGCGACACCTGCTGGAAAGCAGAGGAACAGTCAGCACTAACCTGTCAGTAAATTACAATCATAATCGTGTTGTTGGCTGTAAATCTGCTTTATTTTTAGCTGGATCACATCAGAGGTGTTTATTACCCTATCTTTCAGAAGAGTTGAACTTTATCACATTTTGTCATGAAACATTGACATTTTTTTATTTGTTTGTCACCCATTCCACTGGCGCTGTTCTCCTGCCTTGCTCTTTAGTTCACTTCCTGCTTTCTGAGCGGCCTGCGGTCCGTTTGTATTCGAACCGCGCCAGAGTTCACTTCATCCAAAACGAGACCGACGTTTTTAGACGAACCAAATGGCAGCTGACTTCAGTTTTGTCACTGGATTTTATTTGGGAGTATCAGAGAAAAGGGGAACTGAAAACGAATCTAATCGGGAGAAATGTTGACATTTTGCCTGCAGTGGAACTGAAGCGTTTTCTTCTCTTTCTGTCTCTGCAGTCCGAGGACGGCTCTGACCAAACCCGTCTCCATCACCATGACAACGGGATATCAGTCCGCCACATTGTCATTGAGATTGAAGCCATATCACACTCAGCCTTTCCTCCTTCATCCTCAACATCATCCTCATCATCATCATCATCATCACTCCCTTCATCCTCTCTCAGCTCCCAGCCCGTCCAGCAGGACCACCAGGCGGAACCTGAACCCCCACTGCTCCCGCTCAGCTCCTCGCCTCCGTCCTCTCCATCCTGGTTGCCAGGCGACCAGCAGGCGGGGTCGGTTCGCCGCGCCACCAAGCAGCTGGAGCAGAAGCTGAGGCTGGAGCTGGAGCAGGCGGTGGCCCAGCGCTCGCCGCTGCATTCGCCCGGCACCGAGCCACCTCCACTCCGGCCGGCGCCGAGCTCCCTGACCCCAGAGCTTCCTCCTCTGCTGGACTCCCGGGACCTAGCCGAGCAGACACTCACTCAGGAAGAGAACATGGCCAAAGAAGCAAAGGAGCCCAACGGCTGTCCTGACACGCACATCAGCCGAGTTCCTGCTGACATCATGCTGACATCATCACTGACCTCCACCGCTGAGTTACAATCATCTCTACATACCTCAGCCCGGTCCAGCAGGCTGGACCACCCGAACAGCCAAAGCACACAGCGTCCAGCCGCTTTGAACCTGGATGGAGTGACGGCGGAGGAGACTGAGACGGATGGCTGTCCTCAGGATGGCTGTCCTCAGGACGGCTGTGGACGGCCGTGTGGACCGGGCTGCGACGCCCAGAGCAGGCTGACCAGGAGCAGCCGGGAGTTGGAACGCATCCAGCGGACACTGCAAGAGCTGCAGGCGTTCCTGCAGGACGGAGTGGGACAGGATGGACTAACGGACACGATGGACACCAAATTGGGACGTCCCAGAGGTTCTGAGGCAGCGAGACAGCGGCGGAAAGAGAAAGCAGAGAGCAGGGGTCTCGGCGCGCCGCCCAGCTGGCAGAGGACCCTGGAGCTGGAGGCCCGCATGCGGCAGGCGGGCCTCACGCCGCCGTCCCTCATGAAGAGATCGGCGTCTCTGGCCAAGCTGGACTGCCTGGAGCTGTCCGCCAACGACCTCTGCGACCTGGACCTGACACCGCCCTCCTCCTCATCTTCGTCGTCCTGCCAGGACTCGTCCCACCCAGACGACACCTGGAAGAAGCAGAAAGTTCTCTCTCTCAATCCGTCCCCCGCTGACTCGCCTTCGCCCCCGTCCCACTCGTCCTCCTCCAGAGACAGCGAGGGGGCGGAGACAGACGGACTCAGCAGCGGCGCGTCTCCGTCCTCTCAGCAGGGGAGGGGGCACTCGTCGAGACGCCGCAAAGCATCTGCAGAGCGAAGACGAGCCGTCGCTCTGCTCTACAACACCATGTGACCTCCTGGAGCGAGTGTGTGTGAATGAGGAGTGTGTGTGTGTGGGGTGTGTGAGGTAGAAATGATGCATGTAAACCACTGGATGATTTAACTGGAGTACACAGTAATATTATATGAATGTGCAAACTAAAACTGAAGAAGTGCAAACTTTGCACTGTCATGTTTGTTTATGTCTGTTTTTTTTTAAGCGAGTCTGTTTTCAGTGTGAGACCCTCGCCGCCGGGTCAAAGTTTGTAAAACTGCAACCGGAGCGGCTTTTTTTTTCACAACATGCACTTTACCACATTGGTGATTTTTGTGTCTTTTATTTGAAATCCGTTTCTTACGCTGGGAAAGCTTGTTTTGCACTGTTCTCAGTAGACTTGTCTCTGTAGTTTTGGACTTGCCTTTACTCAGATTTTTAATTAAACCAGGACCAAGCTTACATGTTTGTTTTTCTCTTTTCTTTTAATTCGGTGCCTTTTTTAAAGAAAAAAAAAATAAAAATACTTATCTTTTATGTAAAAAAAAAAAAAGATTTTGTATATTTTTCATCTCCTGTCCTAATACAGAATCTCCAATAACTTCTAAAGAAAATTAGGTGAACGCAGTGCATCAGCACCCCCTGCTGGTCAAGGTGACATGCAGCATTAGAAAAGAAAAATTAAACTGCTGTTAATACAGGTTAAAATGTTGTTGGATTCTTGACATTTAACACAGACCTGGGCGGTTCAACCTTTTCTCCTAGCTGACTTTCTCTGCTTGTTATTTTTACGCACAGATAACTATGTCTTTGAACACACCACCAGAGTCTCCACTGGGAATGGATGAGCACAGCTTATTTCAGGCTGACATTTCCCCCACTGCTTCATGTGGGTAATTAAACACTCAGAAGTAGGCCACCGGGGGCACTGCTGAGATACGCTCTGGCAAAACAAACCTCACATTAAAAGACTTAAAAAAAGTCATTAAAATCAGATAACTGTGGCAAAGAATCTGACATTTTCTACAAAGGTTTGATTGTTGAAAGTACTGGGTGAAAAAACTGGAAAAGTTGGATTAAATGAATCATGATGAGGGTTTCCTAGGATATTGTCCTCATCAATAAAGGACCTGAGAGCTTTTAGCTTTCTCTGGATGTCGGAATTCAAAATCGCCTGACCCTAATCTGCATCTAACATTACAAGCACACAGGGAAACATGGCTTCCTTGACATGACATTACTGAAAGCGTTCAGGGATGTGGAAAATGTCAGTAAAACGTCGAGGCTTGAGGTCATTGGAGGAGGCGGTGCATGAGACTATCGTCGTTTCTCTGCGTACCGTTGCTCTTTTCTACTTAACAGGCAGGCATTTTGTTTTATTCTGGTGGCTTTTTACAAATTCAATTCACACCCCAGCGTGTGCACGACGCTGAGGTTATCCACAAAGTGGGGCGAGGGGAGAAATGGCTGCTGATTCACTCCACGTTGCCTTTTTCCTGCGCTGAGTGGTGATTCTTGGAGGGTTTTACAGTCTCTAAGCTCTCCTCTTTTTTTCTTCTTCTTCTTCTTCTTGTTGAGCCTAAAATAACTACAGTCAAAGCCCCCCTCGGATCCGGCTGAGGCGCCGGGAATCCGTGTCACAGGGAAGATGATGGAGGTGGCAGCTGCTAAAAACAGATCAGCTCCGTCTTTTGCTGACTGACTGCTGCTTTGCCTATCTCGTGAGAAATGAAGCGCTTTTATCGCCGTCATTTTGACCGAGAGAAACCTGGAAAACTTGGGGAAGGGTGGAGGGATTTGGAGCATTTCAAAGCTTGCCTAGAAGTCAGAGATTTTTTTTTTTTTTTTTTTTTTAAAACATTCACTCACAGGCTCCAGTTCCAAAAGGTGTTTCTTTATTTGGATCATCAGAATCCACTTTGCAGGGTACATCTTGAAAACATTTCGATGCATTGGTGTTCAGCAACGACTGTTTTTACAAAGTAAAAAAAAAAAAATCCTCAACATTTTAACACAAAGATCTACTGTAATTAGAGACAGGAGGACATCAGTTTGTGCTGATATTGTAGTGGTAAACATTAGTTTCAGAGAAATTATCTTAAAAAAGTCCTCTGTATTCCCTTGCATTTTGATTGGCTCGTACCTCACAACGTTTGGATTGGCCTGAGCCTTGCAACATAAAGTTACTTACAATTATTTGCAAACATTCATTTACTTTTTTTTTTTTTTTTAATGTCAGCTCACTTCGTACCGCATGTCCAGAGCTCCGACTCAGGCTCAGGTCACACAACAAGGAAACCCTCTCATGAGTGCACATCATGCTGAAATATTGTTTATATCAGTTTATACTAGTGAGCGAAGAGAAACACAGAAAAAAAAAAAAGAAAAAAAATCTGTTCTTGTGAGTATAAATTTCTTCCAATAACATATCTAGTCCACAGACAGCTTACAGAACAATAACATTGGTCCTTTATTATTTTCGGTACACTCGTTCTCATACGCTGGAGCTGCTGCGCCTCCTGCAGCCACGTCCTACATCTAAAACCTAAACTGGCCCGGCTTTGCTTTGTGATCCAACTCATCAATTAAAAACCACCACTAACAGTCTTATATGTGATCCGCCAGCAAAGCTAAGTACAGTACGTGTTGATTTTATGGAAATTAAAAGCAAGTAAATAAGCGTACCTGCATGTTATTTTTGAACATTTGAAAAAGTTGAGAACTTTCTCATGGTTTGTTCACATTCATCTCATTACTGATAACACAAGCCTTACTGGTCAATTTTTTTCCCCCATTTTTAAGACTGAAATCAAATGGTTCAGTGGCAGAAAGGCTCAAGGTGTGTGTGTGTGTGTGTGTGTGTGTGTGTGTGTGTGTGTGTGTGTGTGTTGGTAAATGCTGGAGCAGAAACACCACAGAGGGAGCACTGATGACCCCACTGCAAAGAAAACTGGTATTATTGGTTGTAAACTGGCACTGCTCAACAAGGTACCATGTGGTGCCGCTGAGAGGAAAAAAAGTGTCCCTCTCCAGCTGCCATCTTCATCACTGAGCGGCTTCAGGGGAAAGGTCTGACGAAGGCGAAGGGAGAAAAAGAGAAGGACTTGATTGTTTCACTAAGGTGATTCAGGCAGTTAGAGTGTGCTTAAAGTTTCCCAGGTGGCCGTTTCTTCCCTCTCGTCCCAACATGTCCTCAGTCCAGACCCTTCCCCACCATCGCCGCCGGCAACGAGGCTCTCACTTCTCCATCAGGGACAGCTGGATGATTCGCTGGAGCTCCTCTTCCTCCTGCCGCCGCCGGAGGTCCGCCTCCTCCTGCTCCCGGGCCGAGATCTCCATGGCAATGCGCAGCTGCTCGTCATAGGTGCAGCTGGGCGGCTGCTTCTTCGAGGGGGTGGAGCAGAGGCTGGAAGCGGGGCGGGGCTTGTGCTGAGGCGTCCTGGGCAACATGGATGGAACAGCGGATCAACATATGGGGACATATTTTGATCAAAGCGCAACAGACTAACAGAACATAACTGTAATCCAAAAAGACAAAAATGTAGCTAAAATTTTGGCAGGATTAAGTTTAAACTTTGTGATATCAGATGAGAAGTGCTGAAGCAAAGAGAAAATTCATAATTAATAAGTGTCACATATGTATAAATGACATTTAGACAATATATTTTAAAGTATTTATCTTTTTTGGTGCGACAACACGAGGCAACAAGCTCCAGGAAGTCAGCAGGACCCCTCAACAACTCATCAGAAGAAGAAACCCAAGAAGAAGAGAGAGATGTAAGCATCACAACCTTTGTGATCGGCTGTCTTACATTTTAGTCTGGAAATGGGATGGGAAAATTCTGTTATTCTGTTGGTCTGGAACTGGATAAAAGAAATAAAAAATCAGGATTTTTTTCTACATGAGGTTTCACAAAAATTTGACAAAATCTCAAATGCCACCAAACCAATAATATGATTCCCATTGCCGAGCCTTCCTTCAGGCTATGCTTTTATTGTCATCAATAAAAATATAATTGTTTTTCATTTTTCATAGTTTTCCTGGCTTGTTTAGTTCATGACTAACATTTCAAATCAGTAGATGCACAGAAATGATTTGATTCGTCACAATTTTACATTTTGATTTGCAGATTTTTGCCATTAACCTTTAATGAAATGTTGAAGAAAACTACAAAACTGACATCTGATCATCCATTGGAAAGCAAAATAATTTCAATAATCTTAAGCAGATTATTGAAATGTTTGCATAAACTATGTGACTGGTTCACTTAATCACTATGCGATATTATAACTCTATAGCTCCGATAGCCATAATAATGATGTTGTAATAGTGGATCAAATGTAGAGTGCCAAACTTTGACATATCCTCATGTGGGCGGGACATGAAGGGATTTTCTGAAGCCCTACGTTTGCATTCTGTTCAAAATTGTGTTTCTTCAACGAACAGGTGATGACGCCAATTTCAGCATCGTCAGAATCTAAAATCTGATTCATTTTTAAAGCCAGACCGTTAAAAACAGCAGCCAGTGAAAGAGGTGAGAGTGAAAGCACAGCAAGCCTGCGCATTCAGCTCCACACAGGAGCGACGGATAAGGACAACAGACTGAAGTCAACTGCAGGAAACTCTCATCCCTCTCTCACAAACACACTCTCCCAGCAGCGCTGTGCAGATAGGAGATGGGAGAAGAATAGCAGGATGGATAAGATAATAGAAAAGGGGAGGAGAGCAGCAGAATACAGGATGTGAGTCAAGGATGGAAGGAAGGAGCTGCAGTGGGGAGGAAAGCACACAATGGTGCCTCGGAAGATAGTGAGGAAAAACAAAACGCGACAGAGGAGAGGATGTGAGATGCGGGGGAACGGCAGGATATTTCGCCTTCGCGCTGACAGACGTGGAGATTTACATTGTTTTTGTTGAAGGATTTCGGCTTTTTTGAAGATGAAAGCTTCTGTCCTGTTCATTTTCTATTATTCAGCCAGGCTTTGATTTGACTTCTGCCACTCCTTTTATGAGAGGGATTGCTGAAAGACATAGATGTTGATGGTGTTGAATTTTATCACATTTGAGAACCACAAAACCGAAGCATATTGAAAATATTAGATCGGAGTAAATAACAATAGCCTGCCTGTTGTTTTTTTTTTTTTACAAATGTCTGTCTGTATCACAAAGAGAGTCTGTGACGCCGCGTCTCTCTAAAACACACACAGCAGCCCATATACAGGTGAAGCGCTGTGAAATAGTATGTACAGAGCATTTAAACAGGAAATAATGATGATGATGTCAAAATGAGATGAAGAAAGATGTGCAATTTAAAAAAAAAAAAAAGT